ATCCGACTGATGACTACCCAACTGAGCCTGCCGACCCTCCAAATCCGACTGATGACTACCCAATTGAGCCTGCCTACCCTCCAAATCCAACTGCTGACTACCCAATTGAGCCTGCCGACCCTCCAAATCCACCTGATGATTGCCCGATTGCTTTTGCTGAGAGACTGATTCCACCTGTTTACCTTTCAATTGCTGAGTGAGTTGACTTAGCAAGTTGGCCAATTTGATGTGATCCGTCTTCCCACTAGTTGAACTACTCGAGGTAATGCCGCGCGTCAGGGTCACATATTTGAGAAGTTGCTGCAGCTGATTGGAGTTTATCTTCCCTGATTTACACAACAACTTGGCAGTGTTAATTATACCAGATCCAACTTCTGCAACACACAGAAAAGAAAAAAAAATACACAGTGAGTATGTCAATGTAGACCTGTATATCACACCTGTACATCGCTGTTTATCTGTATATCACTGAATACCTGTATATCACACCTGTACATCGCTGTTTACCTGTATATCACATCACTGTATACCTGTACATTGTATATCACAATATAACTGAAGATAACTGTATACCTGTAATCACACATTTACATCACTGTATACCTGTATATCAAACCTGTACATCACTGTATACCTGTATATCACTGTATACCTGTATATCACAATATAACTGTAGATAACTATACCTGTAATCACACATTTACATCACTGTATACCAGTATATCACTCCTGTACATCACTGTATACCTGTATATCACTCCTGTACGTCACTGTATACCTGTAAATCACTGTATACCTGTATATCACACCTGTATATCACTGTATATCTGTATATCACTGTATACCAGTATGTCATTGTATACCTGTACATCACTGTATACTTGTATATCACACCGGTTCATCACTGTAAACCTGTATATCACACCGGTACATCACTGTATACCTGTATATCACACCGGTACATCACTGTAAACCTGTATATCACACNATGATCACTGTATACCTGTATATCACACCGGTATATCACTGTAAACCTGTATATCACACCAGTACATCACTGTATACCTGTAAATCACACCGGTACATCACTGTATACCTGTATATCACACCGGTACA